GGTGGAGCCACCACCGTTCTACATGCCGGAAGTGGGCAGCCCCCTGAGCTCGGTCATGTCCTCCCCGCCCCTGCACATGGAGGGGCCCTTCGGCCACCCCACCATCCCCGAGGAGAACGGAGAGAACGCGTCCAACAGCACGCTGCCCTTGACTCAGACCCCCACGGGCGGGCGCTCCCCGGAGCCCTGGGGCCGGCCGGACTGCCCCTTCGGGGGCCTGGAAACCCCGTCCATGATGTTCCCCCACCAGCTGCACCCCTGTGATGTGGCCGAGAGTCTGCAGCCCAAGGCCTGCCTCCCCCGAGGACTGCCCCCCACCTTCTGAATATGTTTTGCGTTGTCATATTATAATGAGCTTCTTTCTGCGAGCAACCTGGGAGGGAGTGAAGTGGCAGGTGGGACTGGACAGAGCCCAGCAAACAGTGGAGCGGAGCGGAATAGAAGTAGAAATGCGGGTACTCACTCAGAATACACACCTAGACAAATGGAGAGTGTTGGCCCAAGGGTTTCATGCCAGACTATGCAGTGACCTGCGGTCTTGTTCCCTAGTCCTGTCTTCCCTGGTGACTGTGGTTGGTGTTGGCTCAGGGAACACAAAGGAGTAACGGCCAGTGTGTCCCCTGCCTCACTCTCCTGCTCTCCCACAGCCTGTCCTCGGGCAAGGTGAGCCCAGAGAGCATCCGGACGCTCCGGCCCCCCTCCGAGTCCTCCGATGACCAGGGTCAGCCTGCAGCCAAGAGAATGCTGAGCCCCAGCCGGGAGAAGGAGCTGTCCTTGTACAAGAAGACCAAGAGGGCCATCAGCAGCAAGAAGTACAGCGTGGCCAAGGCGGAGGCCGAGGCCGAGGCCACGACGCCCATCGAGCTCATCAGCAGAGGCCCCGACGGCCGCTTTGTCATGGGGCCCTCCGAGGTGGAGCCCCCGGTGAAGGGCAGGCGCATCGAGGGCTTTCCCTTTGCGGAGGAGACGGACATGTACCCCGAGTTCCGCCAGTCTGACGAGGAGAATGAGGACCCCCTGGTGCCCACCTCGGTGGCTGCCCTGAAGTCCCAGCTGACCCCTCTGTCGTCCAGCCAGGAGTCCTACCTGCCTCCACCAGCATACAGCCCCCGGTTCCAGCCCCGCGGGCTGGAGGGCCCCGGCGGCCTGGAGGGGCGGCTCC